CATAAGTTTATACATACAATGTATACAAGCGGACGATGTTTTCTGAAGCCAGCCATAGCAGGAGCGAGCGAGCGAGCGAATAAAAGCGAGCTAGCGAGCGAACAAAAGCGAACGCAAGCAAGCGAAAAAAATAGCGTCGGAAATTAAGCAATAAGCAGGAGGTTGGGCGGAATGAGTACTGTACCATGTATCAAAGCAATTGAGTTGGTAGTTTACAAGAAAAAGTCAAAATTCAATTGTTGACGGACAGACAAGGACATACAACTACCTATATGAACAGCTCTGCTCTGTCACCTACAATGACTGCAGAGCTAATAAAACCATTATTTTATCTAATGACTTGATATTTTGGTTATATATCTTGCATGACAACACAACTAATTGCATTGGGTACATTTGCAGAGTCGAGGTGTGTGATATACAACCTTGTATGGTCCAAACATTTTAACATATTCATAAACGTAGGTCATTTGCAAATCTGAGAATGTGGGTTTAAAAAAAAAAAAAATTAAGGGCTTGGGGGTCTTGTACCCATAGGCATATGTTGGAATGAAAGGGTGGGTTACTTGCTATATGGATGAATTGACAGACAGACAGACATCTATGTCCAATGGGGACTACCGTATATAAAGAATCCTGTAAAATAGCTAATTTGTAACCAATATTGTACCAAGTTAAAACCGCATCATTTGAACACTATGTTTTCAGCTTGTTCCGGTAGTGATGTTTTACATATTTGCAAGGTGTAAATGAAACAATACCTTTAATCCAGCAAGAGGGTGTCCAGGGCCCAGCAGAAACCAGTGAAACAGAGCCAAGTCTTCATCAGGTACAATATGGTTACCTGTAAAAACAAACATCAAACTATTATCACATTTGCTTGATTACACCTACCATATTTTCTCTTATAGTAGAGCATGTGATAGACAACATTATGTATGGTCAAAATAAGTCATTTGTATTATCAGAGGTACATTACTTGGGGTTTGTAACTACGGTGACATGATACCAAGATCCCGTCACAATCTCGCTCTCGCATAAACGTTGCAACTCAGAAAAAATGCGAATGCGAATGCGAATGCGCATGCCCGAGGTAACTAGGATACTGGGATGTCCAGGTGGATCAAAATAGCTGCCCACGATATGACGGATTACGAGAACTATATTTTCTGTACATTTTCGATGTATTACATTTTTCACTATGATAGTGACAAGAAAAGTTTATTTTTTTCATTACAAACCTTGAACATTGATATGCGTCATGTCAGAAGGTCGTAGCCTCAGTCTCGCTATCTACGAGAAGAGACTTGAATGGCATCTTGACATGATGTCACCATACAGTACTATGCGAGTTGCAAACCCCAAGTAATGTACCTCTGGTATTATATAATATATTACATTGGTGGAATGACCATCACTAATTTACACAGGAATGAATAATTTTCAGCTCATTTCATTTTAAAATGGGTAGGAAAAGGTTGCTGAAAACAGATTATATTTTATTTTAGTTCTAAATATCATGGGTTATTCAGCTCTTGAAATAATCAGATTTAATTTTCCCATCAAGCTATATTTTCATGGACTAAAAAAAACAGGTAGCAGTCAGTGTTTTTATCATTTTCATGTCAATTAATTATTTCAGCTATAATTGAGAATGGCTATTTTATTATATACAACTGAGTGTCTCAATTATTCATTGGGATTTAATTTTGATACTAAGTGAAATCTGCTAATCAAAAAAAAGTTTAGAAAGAACTCCTGTGTTCTGAGAGAGTATTGGAGGCATAATTAATTCAAAATTTAGGATAGCCTTTCAAAGAAGAAGCCGGGGCCACTAATACTGGTCTACTGTTTGGGAGGCACAATATGAAAATGATCCACAGTATTGAAGTTTATAAAGATAAATTTGATTGTACATCTGTGGTTTGCAATATAATTTATGCCAAAGCAACTCTACCTTAAGTTCAACTCGTACTAAACTAGAACAAACAATATGATCAAGATCTGGCTCTGAAATGGCAGAAATGCTTGATTTTCCTGAATTTTAAGTACAAGAATGAATCGGATCATGAAATGAATGAAAGTGCATATGCCACCCAAAATATGTGATGCATTTTTGAAGTCTGAATATGATTGGACTAAGCATGTTGGAGATATAGGTGCACGGCACGGAGGTCAAAACATGTCCCTGGTTTCGGACCCATATAGAAATGTTAGCATAAAAAGATTACAATGTTACCTTTTTGAAGCTAATTAAAAGGAATTTAGTTTTTACAAAATTGTATATTTGTTTTGCTCTCTGATTATGACATAAATAATTATTAGATATTTTTACTATTTCTAGCAGGCTACTTAAAGCTTTAGTTAAGCATATATAGAAGTTTGACATGCCATGTGGTCATAGAAGGGGTTGGAAACTTGGCTATTATACACTACTCACAAGGTAGCTCCTTGGAATTCCCCAGGTCGGAAACCTCTGATTTTTATCACCTCCCTTACAAACATTACAATACAACCCGTATAATCCATTCTACTCTACTACTCACCAATGAGGGCAGCAAACACAACCATCCGATTGGGATTCAAATCAAGTTCTTTAGCCACTTCGTCCATCAGATACTGGGTGGTCAATAAATTACCACTTCTGGTCAACTTCATTTGATGGGAAGAGAACATTTTTGGTGGATCAAAGATGCAGTACTCTGAGTTTTGTGCAATGATGCCATGGTAACCATAGTCACGGCAATGACCCATCACCTCCTGCATGTGGTCATAGACACTTGTAGTGACTGAGATACCACACTGTAGTAAGGCAAGTCGAATAAAGGTTTCTGTAAATACACAATATGAAAGATATTATTT